GGAGGGAGGGAGAGGGGAGAAAGAGGGGGGGACGCGTAACGAACAAGCCAGAAGTTATTGAAGAACCAGCGGCCTACATTTCAAATTACGAGGTCGTAGTAGCATTGGTTAGCGAGCAGTCTGGACACTAAGCCATTAGTCGTTGAGTCTTTTCGATCCACGTCGACTTTAGGAACAATCAATTTTCATAGCAATATTAAGACAGAAACATTTTAACGAAAATATGCATATTGTGTTGTGCCAGGAAACGTCAGACCTGGGTGAGGTGCAGTTCTCCCTCACCTACAACAATCACCTGGAGCGGCTCACGGTGGTCGTGCTCAGAGCGAGGGGCATCAAGAAACCCACAGGGATGGCTGCAGTAGGTAAGTCGCTAGAGGGCGTCTTTTCTTCACTTCGCGAAACACGAGGTACTGACAGCCTGACTCAATCGCTCTGTTAAGCCTCGGTCACAACTCGCCGTGCGTGCTTTTTGTCCGTACGTTTTTGTCGTGGCTACGTCTGCTACGTTTTTTCTGCAAACGTAGGGTGGCCGGCCGAGGGAGTATGTCACTCGCAAGGTGTACGTACGTGGTCTGCACGACACGCCTGACCGTCAGCGGTTGCGTGCATCGTACGTTGCGCAAGTGGTAAGTGAGTTGTACGTGCTTACAACGTACGATCTCTGTGCGATTGCCACGTTGCCGCGTACAGGCCGTACCTACACGTGCGGCGTGCGCACGATTTCCTTACTCACTCGCACGTTGTAAGTGCGTGCACCTCCTGTTAACTTCATCATCACTAGCCGCCCTGGTGTCTTCCGCGGCCCGTTTCTTTGGATCTTGTCTGGTAGACTTCTTCTGAGCCTTCCTGGGCATCTTGGAGACGAGTTGGCAGTCGCCCGTCAAGTCGTCTTTATATAAGGTAGAAATAAGGTGCGTTGCGCGTGCGTTGCACGTGCGGAGCACCTAGTATGGTGCACGTGTGTTCTGCGTGGTCATTGAGCAGGTCAACTGGGAAGTGATCATGATGAGGAGTAAGCACGGATGACGCAAGCACCATGCGTGGCACTGACGTGCTTCGTGCGCTGTCCGTACAGCAATTGCACGTGAGAATAGTGAAGTTAGACTCACGGAGTCCGTACGTTGCACGCTCATAGGCTGTACGGGGCACGCGCGTCGCACGTACTCGCACGCACGTGTGGTAAATCCGCAGACCGCACGTAGAAAAAGTATTACATGCACTTAAGGTTCTACGGCGTGTCTGCGTGCTCCCAAATCCGTAAGATTCCGTACGGAGGCGGTACTCACCACGCACGGATGCCGTACGTTTGCCCACGTTTTTGCACGTAGACAGCACGCAGAAGCACGTACGGCGAGTTGTGACCGTCGCTTTAGCGGCCGCCAGACTGATGAACTGATTGGACCAGCGAAGAAACGTACTCCAAAAAACGAATCGTTTATGTCTAAAAATTGCAAAATACGCAGTACCTGGTCGGCTTAGGAACTGCTTAACCCCATTGACACATGTATGATCAGTACATCAACAGACGTTACCTTTTGCAGCACATCATTCCGAATGTTCCAAATAGTTTTTTTCCTGTAATTTGTACTTACAGACACTTGCGCACGTGTGACCCTGATGAACAGTAATCACGTGCTGAAGACAAAGAAAACCAACGTAGTCACCAACAGCAGCGACCCTCTGTACAACGAGAGCTTCAACTTCAAGCTAAGCCCCACGCAACTCGATACATCCAGCTTGAGCGTCGCCATACTACAGGTCACTCCCGGAGACGAAGGTTAGTGAAATGTATTAACAAACCGCAAGAGGGCGCCCCAACACAGGTAAAACCTGTCGACGAATTACTAGTAACATTTGTCATCATAAATGCTTATCAGTTGATGATTCATGGCAGATATACAATCAAAACTATCTTTTTACGATAGAATACGGTGGCTTGATTACAGAAACATAGAAAAATATCTCTTATGTCAAATATGCATGCATTGTTTTTTTTTATGTAGGATACGAACGCCAAGTTGGGCGTGTAGTGGTCGGGCCGTTCATGTATGCCCGAGGGAAGGAGCTCGAACACTGGACAGAGATGGTCAACAACCAGAAGGACATGGTCAAAAGATGGCATGCTCTCACACAGTGACGTCACTCAGTCCCAGTTCTCGCGAAGGTAGACGAGAACATCGGCACTTCTCGCGAGGGTTGAGAAAAACATCGGAACCTCGCGAGATTTTGAGATTCATGTACCTAATATCCTTATAAGG